CATGAAGGAAAAGAAAGACAATGATCACAAAGATTTGAATGCAAAAGAGTCCAATGATTTATATTGAATGATCATATGATAAGATGAACATAAATAAAACCCTTGACAAATGGACCAAATAGACCAGGCACATGTCTTAAAAGTCATTGTTAAATATTACAGACAAAATGTTCTTGAATTAGTAAAAAGCAATAAACGAGTGATTACTCCTCAATGAAGGAGATGGGGACGAAGTCCTTTGCTTGCAAATTCCTGAACTCCATTGTAGTAGGATACACCCAATCTTCAAATGCAGCTTCATCATCAGAATTACCCACATCGCTAACTTTAGGGCTTCCAATACGGAGAGGGGCTTCCCTGCACGAGCGTGCCTCACTTTCTTCTGAGCCTTGACAGTGAAACCCAAACCAAATTTGTCTACTTTGAATGGGATCTCGAGGAGTTTCCCCTAAGTATCACAACTTACTTCTTCAATTGCAGCACGAGCATCTTTGACTGAAACCATCTTCGGTACGACCTTAACAACTTTGGACACATCAGAGGAACATTTGGCAGTGGCAATCATTGGTGGCACAACTTTAAAGGCTTGACATGGGGTCTCTATGAATTCTCCATCCATCTCCACGTATTTGAAAGAGTTGAGGTGGCTTACCATGAACTCCTACTCACCACAGATGGTGATAATTCTTCCTTTAACCGGATACTTGAGCTTTTGATGAAGAGTTGAGGTTACTGCCCCAGCTCCATGGATCCAAGGGAGACCTAACAAACAAGAGTAGGCAGGACAGATATCTATGATGTAGAAGGTGGAGTTGAAAATTTGTGAGGCCACCTTGATTGGAAGATCTACCTCTCCATGAACTGTCCTTTTTGATCCATCGAAAGCCCTCACAATGATATCACTTGGTTTCAAGACTAAACCTTCACAGTCTAAATGGTCTAACTCCCCCTTGGGTAGCACATTTAAAGAAGAATCGGTGTCGACCAGAACATGTGCTAGGGTTGTCCCTTTGCACTCGACGGAAACATGTAGAGCTTTATTGTGGTTATTCCCAAGTGGTGTTAGATCGGCATCTGAGAACCCCAAACCATTATCATCCGTCAAGCTTGCCACGCAATTCTCAAACTGATCAGTTGTGGTCTCATGAGGGACATAAGCTTTCTTCAAGAATTTGATTAATGCCCGAGCATGGGCATCGGAACAGAGTAGTAACGACAACATGGAAATCTTAGAAGGGGTTTGCCCTAACTGTTCCACAATCTTGAAGTCGCTCCTTTTTATGATTTTTAAGATCTCATCCATCTCACGAGCAAAAGGTTCTCCACCAGCAACGTCCTTTACAGGTATTTCTGTCATGACAGGATCAACAACTTTCTCCTTCCCTCTTGTATCAGTACTTGGCTTAGCAGCAGTGATGCATATAGGTGCCTTTGTAACAAATAGTGGTGAGATGTTAGGTGAAAAGATTCTCCCAGTTCTGGTCACTTTGCTTGAGCCAGTTATGTTACCAATATTATCAGCATTATCTTCTTCAATCCAGACGTCTTGTTTTATCCCATGGTAAAACACCTCAGCACCATATTTCCATGGTACTGCTTTGTTTGAAGAGTATGGAATTGGTCCGGGATTGGTAATTATTAGGGGAGAAACAATTGGTTCATTTGAAATCCTGATAGGACCCTTGGAGGAGATTCTAAGAGGCTTGTTTGAGATGGTTATAATGGAGAGATCTTCACACTTATTAGTCAGACTTTTGACAGGCGGAGTCTTCTCAAATAGGATCTTGTGGCTATCCATCAGGCGTTGAATGCCTTCCTTCAGCCCTTTGCATCCATTGAGTTGTTTGGCACATCAAACACAGTCCTTCACACAGCTAGGGAAAATCTCATATTTCAACAGATTCTTTTTGATGATGTTCAGCGAAGTAGTCAATTCTTCGACAGAGGAAACGAAAACGGTATCTTCAACAACATTGACACCCTTGCCATGATTTGGCATAGGCGAGGTGATTACATTCAGAGTTGGAGGAGGATCAAATTCAATAGTCTTGTTATCTATCAAGTCCTGAATTTTATTCTTCAGTGCCCAGGATCAGTTAGTCTCATGCCCGGGACTACTTGAGTGATAAGCACACTTGGCATTCGGATTATACTTTAGTGAAGAGGTATCTGGATTGGCCAGAGGATCGCGTAATGTCACCAAATTAGCCTTTAGTAAGTGTTGTAAAGCTTGAGATAGTGACATGCCTAACCTCGTAAATTGTCTTCTCGGAGTTTCAAAATGTTGATGATTTGCAGATGGTCTTTGAGCAGGAGTTGGATTGGAAATTCAGACAATGTTAACAGACTGGCGGTCATCCTTCTTGGTACGGGCCCTTGACCCATACACATCATTGATTTATTTCTTTGCAGCAAAAGGTTTCTTTACAGATTTGGAAGTGGAGGCAGACGCCACGGGAATCTTCCCGCTTTTGATGCCGCTTTCAACCCTTTCACCGGTTAAGATCATCTCGGTGAAACCGGAAGAAGAACAGCCAACCAACAAGTTAAATAATGGACCAGATAAAGTGCCCATAAACATGTTAATGTTCTCCTTATTAGTCAAAGGTGGTTGAACCCTACTGGCAAGGTCTCTCCACTTTTGTGCGTATTCTTTAAATCCTTCATTCTTTCCTATTGTCATGTCTTGCAACTGAACTCTTGTCGGCGCCAAGTCGGCATTATACTGGTATTGGTGGTAGAAAGCGGTGGCTAAGTACTCCCATGTACTGATACGGGAACCATCCAACTGGTAAAACCACTATATTTGCGTTCCGGGTAAGCTTTCTTGAAAAAGTGAACCCAGAGTTTCTTATCAGTAACGTGTGGTTGTATCTTGCGCACATAAGATTTCATGTGAAGTTGTGGACAGGTGTAATACCCCAAATTTGTCCTACCCTTTCACTTTTATCTGGTTTAGGCTTTTTCAATCATCTGCGTATATTCCATTAGGTCACTAACATGGCATACATTTACATTCAATAAGGCACTTGAGGTTTGAAAGATCAATTATCATGCAAGTTAAGGGTTTCATAGTGTTTTGAGATGCACATATCGAATAAGGCTGATTCGTCTATTTATCCTCCAAGCATTGAATTTGAAAATTAGGGTTTCTCTATCTTTGAGGTTTCCCTTTCCATTCAAGGGTCGTCAACGTATTCCTTCATCAACCATTGGTCCGAGGAGTTAGGGTTTGTGATGGTGACCATTGAAGACTTATTTCTTTCTCACCAATGATTCTGACTGAGAAGACTGTGAACTATGCTTTGATGATAAGTTGCATCTTCATTCAGCATATACCTCAGGAAGATTAGGGTTTGATCCATTACTTGGGTTTGTTCATCATTTAAGGAGGACTAGACCTGGGACTTCTATAATCATATGATTAAAATATCATGCATATCTTCAGAGACATCTCAATTCATTCTTCTATGTTTATTAAGGTTCATTCAAGAAATCTAAGGCAAAGAAATGAGGAGAAATTCTTGTAACCTACAAAATTATGCCAAAGGTGTGCTACTAATGGCAAGACATTACCATGTTTTGAGATTTCATCGGATCATCATCAATACCGTTCCAAAACCAAAAGGGAAAATATGCAATTTGGAAGAGAGGGTTACTTGGGAATAATTGGATTTTATCATGGGGTTCAAGGAGTTCAAAAGAGGATTACCAACCTTGCCAAATCATTACAAGATCATACTGCATTACTTTTGTTTCTAGTGAATTACAAGTGCATTTGACAATTTATACACACAAAAAGGAGAAAGTGCAAAGGGATTACATGAGAATACTACTAAGCCTAAACTTAATCCTTAATCAATTCAAACTTCACGGTCCATGTTCTTCATCTCCAATGCTTTAAAGTATTACTATGCCTTGCTATTTGCTTAAACAAAGTCCAAAAACCAAATTTCTAAACCTATTATGATCTGAAACCCGTGCGCCAAAGCAATGTTTCATTTAACTTACAAACAATTCAATAAATCCTATCCAATGCATTAACTACTACATCATTCTAATTACAAAGATATTCTATAACTCAGTATGCTGTCTCAAAAAGTCCCATCTCATTCCAATTCTTCAAGTTATTTCTTCTTCACCATTTTTCAAGAGTGATATTTCGGCGCTTAAGAACTTGAACTTGCTTCAAGCCGATCTGAAATTACCCTGATTCACACTAAACCAGGATGCTGTGAAAACCTGCATAATACAAGCAGTAAGACAATATTTTCAGGTTCAATAACAGGAAAATTGGTCCTGCGATCTCAAGATGAAGCAGGCGATCAAGCGGGATTCTTGATAGAGGTGGATCGTGACTAGGTTGAACCAAAACAAAAGCAGTTCATCATAAACCAGTTCATTACTTCCAAAATAGAAAAATAACTATAACAAGTTTCCAGCAGAACTGACAATATAACAATAACAAACCTCCAACCAATTAACAAATTAACCCTATCTAACCAACTTCCCTAACTGCTCTAACCAAAACATAATTCTAAACTTCCTAACTACCCTTCATAACGGCTCAACAAACTTCCAGCAACAGACTAACAGAATTGACATCTCTAACAAACTTTTTCTGAGAGAAAATAGAATAACAGAAAAGAGAAGAAAAAGGTCATAGAAAATCAGATACTCACCTTTCAACCTGACTCTCTCGGGAATCTCCATCTTCCATCATCATCATCTTCAACCTTCTTTCTCAATCTCCATTCTCTCTCTGCAAATTTCCATTATCTCTGCTATCTTCATCACCAACATAATCATTCTTCAAATTTCTCTACCTCATCGTATCATCTTCATCTTCTCGGAGAAAATTACAAAACCAGAAAAATCTCTACACTCCTCTCCATTCTCTCTACTTGCCAGCGTCTTAGTTTAATCTTCATTGGTCTATCATCAGTAAAAACTGTAACTACATCTTCCTCATCTCTGCATCATCACAATAATATGCAAACATGAACGACTTCATCATAACCGAATCAAGAATATTTTCATCATCCTCATGTTCAACAATTCTGAATCATACAAAATCGCAACAACACATAAATGGAGTAGAAGATAAAGAGGAAGCAAAAGGAAGAAATGGAGTTGCATACCTAATTCGTCACTTTGAGAAAGCATTGGACGTTCTCTCGAAGGTAAGATTCAGGTAATAGTTTTCTTCTCATCGCCTTTTTCTATGTGTGCTCATTTATTTGAAACAAGATCGGAGAGGAGACGAACGTATTTAGCTCAGTGACGCAAGAGTGAGAAGAAGTGAGAATTAGTTGAGCACCATGGTGGCGTGTTGTCAAATGGGAGAAGAAGTTTGAGAAGAAGATCTGTGAAGAAAGCAAGGGAGCGATGAACGGTTTTGTGGCGTTATGCTGCGAATCATGAACATAGATAGAGATGAGGACGAACCAGACTGTAGAGATGTGAAGTTGAATCAGAGAAGGTTGAGAATCAGACGGAGAGGTCACAGACGCGGCGAACCACGGTGATGGAATGGCTGTGGGATGAGCAAAAAAGAAGGCTGAAGACGTGGTTACTGTGGTGCTGTAACAAGAAGAAGTTTGAGAGCGGTGAAGGAAGTTAAGCCCGAGATCAGCGTCGTCTGCAGCTTTGATGAAGAAGAAGAAGGAATCTTGCGTGAACCAACAGTCACGACCAATTCAACCCTAAAATCCTCCCTACGTTTCCATTTTTTTATTTTTGATTAATTTTTATTTTATTTTTATTCAAGATAACCACACTATGCTGAGGATAAGTGGATAATGGTGATGGGCCTGGGCCGAATTTGCTTAGACCCCTTCCTTGCGTTTTTTACCTGATGTTGAAGTACACAAAAAAAAGCTTTATGGATTCTGTGATGGGCCTAGTGTCATTCAGGTTTTTACTTCTACAACATTCTGAATTAAGCTTGCACCCCCAGAAGCTTCATGTGCTCTTGTGATTTCAATTCCTTTTTTAATTATTATGAATGAACTTTTATGACATTATAAAATAAAAGAGACTTGATTTTGAAGCAAGCTAAGAGATTAATTATCATCAAGTAAATTCAAGGTGGATCTCGGTAGAGATTTCTCTTTGCTTGCATGGTAATGAAGAGGCAACAGACCTTCTCCATTTGGTATCATCTCAACTTCACTCTTATTCCTCATTTTCGCACTTTATTGCTTTCTAGATATCATGAGAAGTAGGAAATAAAGAGCGTGCACTTGAAGTCGCTATTTAAAGACTTGTAGCAGGCATTCCACACTTCATTTGCTATATGTGTCGTGCTTGTGTTTGTTTCTTTGGTCGATTGATCAATGGGTCACTCAATTCAGAAATTGAGATCACGACTTCGCTCTCAGTGCATGCTCCCTATAGGATTTTATCGCTTTCCTTTATTTCTTGCTGATCGATGAGTCACTCAATTTAGAAATTGAGATCACGACTTCGCTCTCATTGCATGTTCCCTATAAGATAGTTTTGTTAGACTTTCTTTGGTATGCTAACCTAGGTAGGATCTCTCTAGGTTTTCTCTCTTGAGTTTATTAGCTTGTTTTATTTATCCTTGTACATACCATGTTCCCTTAGGATGCGCTTGCTCAGTTCGGATGCAAGTTAGATCTTTGGTTGCAAACTATGGATGCTAACATTAGGTAGACGTTTCCCTTTCATTCATCCTGGATGTAGGGATACCATTGTATGATAACATTAGGTTAGAAATAGGCTAGTCTCCCTTAGACTCTTTTCTTTCCCTTTTTGCATCCTTGCATCTAAAACAAAAACCTCTTTTCTTTAGCAAATCATAAAACATGCTAACAACACTTAAACCCTTTTTCAAGGTAATAAAACACAAATCAATTCAAACCATTTTGTGCGTTCGAGCACCTTTTCTCTAAAACCCTTTTTAGGTAAGGACATGATTAATTTACTTCTGTGCCAACGCGTAAGTCTCCAAAGGTCGAGTTACGGCAGAAGGCGGAATTAACTTCGTCCATAAAAAACACAAACAAACAAAAACATATGAGCCGAACTAAGGTAGCTCTGATTCCTCAAAAGGGATACGTAGGCTTTGGGGTATGGACCAAGCGAGTACAATTTTATTTTACCTACATTCTTTTCTCATTTCTTTTGCATGCATTCTCCCTTTAGCAGTAGTAAACAGTAAGCATAGATTAATCACACCCATAAGATAGACAACAAGAGTGGATACCGTAGAGTACTACGGGCGCGTGGGGTGCTAATACCTTCCCCTTGCGTAACAGACTGCCTTACCCGATCTCTCATTCGCAAGACCGTGACTTCTCCCTACTCAGGTTTTCTTGATGTTTACCTTTCCCTACATGTGGGATAAAAGACGTTCGATGGCGACTTCATTGTTTGATGATTTTCAGCCGGTTGTTTCAGCTGAGGACTTCACTGTTTGATGACTTTCAGCCGGTTGTTTCAGCTGGTGACTTCACTGGGGAACAGAGGATGACCAAATGTTGGTCCATCCTGGAGTCGCTCCTATCTCTTGTTTCCTTTCTTTGGGTGTTTTTTTATGCTTTTTGTTTACTCATCCATTTTGTATATACTTGAGCATATGTATGCATTTCATTTTACTGTCTTCCATATACTACTGTTGTACTGGATCTGCTTCTTATTGGGTGGGTGCTACTATGAGGTACAAGGCCCAATACCTAGGCCGGAGTTGTATACCATAGGAACCCTAGGAATATAGTGGAACATGAACGGCTAGTTGACTTAGGTCTCACTATCACCACCATGTCGTCCACGCTCAGATGAGGTACAAATGAGGGGCTATCATTTTCACGTAGGTGATACGGCGATAGTTTTCTCAGGAGTACCCTCGATTCTGAGTTACCATTGCCTTACCCTGACCTAGCCTTCACCTGTGAGTGGGGGGGGGGGGGGAATTATTATCATAGGTACAGATGGTGACTATGTTCATATGGTTACTCACGTTCAGATGGTGACTATGCTCAGACAGTGACTATTGGTTCTAATGATTATGTTCTGAATTTCTGTTAGTGACTTATGCAGATGGTATTCTGTTAGTGATCGTATGGTTCTCAGATTTATTTTCTGAGTTCCTGATTTGTATACTTGGAGGTTCATTCGAGCCTTCAATCTTGGTATTCCCAACATGTTTAGAAAAGGCTCAACAGTATCCGATGTTCTAGAAGCCTTGATCCCGTACAACGGGAGATCTACATGGTACTCGATTCTTATATGTGCAGAAGCTATGTCGGACCTTTGACTTGATGATATTCATATGATTCCGAACAGTGCAACAATCATATTCAAGAATGATGGAAGTTTGACCCCATGCCTTTGCATATATAACATGGTTAACCACATGCTTAAATACATGTTCTATCATCTCCAAGGAATCACATTTTCAAGTCTTGTGCTAAACTCTGCCATCCCTCAAAATCAAAATCAAAGCATGTAAATTCCTTGGAAATGACAGAACATGACATGGCATTCATTCATGCACCCCATGCATATTCATGCATCCATGACAGGTACTCGAATATTGGGGATTCTTACTCAGACCATGTGTTCTCCTCAGAGGTTTAACTTGATTCTTACTGTCACATGCTCAGAGATCAGTTATGGAATAACTTTGTGTGGTATACATGCAAGCTTCGGACCATGGTCAGAAATCTCTTCAAGCAGGAAGATAATTGATTGCAGACTCAGATAAGCTAGGTCATGGAAGCTCTGATGATAATGTCAACAATCTTGCACTTACTGTTGTAGCAGGTTCTCTCTTCTCTTCATCTTTTTGGAATTGCTTTCAACCATGGAGCGCTACACAATCTTGAGTTCTTGGAGCACCTTATCAGCAGATGGTTCACATATACTATGGGATCTTATATTAGTGCTTCGTTCATGATACTAATGTTAGATGTGCTTGCCATACCGGGGCACCAACCTTTTCAATCAGGGGCATTCTCCACAACTTTGCGTTCCCTGATTTATTCAACAACAATCAGTCTTTATTCCCCTAGAGAATTCATGAAAAATATTTTAAGAAAAAACAGAAGAATCTTGATGAGCATGTTGATGCGATCCCAGTACATTACATCCAGTTATTTCCTCTCCTGGTGGAAGTTCAATTGGTAAATATATGATCTTTTGGGTCCTCTTCCCACAAACATCCATACCTTCTGATTGCAATACACATGCTAGATGTATCCCCTATTCTGAGGCACTCGGTTTTGATATTGAAGACTTTAAATGAGTTGAAATATAAATCCCAACACTTGTCTGGTGTCTCTTTCAAAGGTCCAATTCCTATTTGGCCAACTGTCGGATTCTTTCTCACCAGGTGGATGTTTCTGTTGTTCTGATAGAAGATGAACTGTATTATTTCTTTGAGGTTAGAGATGCTTGGTGACGTAATTTATACCAATTCGCTTGATAAAGCATTCATTCGCTCTCCTGAGAGAATCTTCTATTTCTGGGGCACCTGGCCAATCAATTGAAGATGGTATGTCATCCAGAGACAAGGTCCAAGACAAGATCAATCCAAAGACTGTCATGTTCACATTAGATCTGAAGGGGATTCTCCCTCCCACTCAAGCATCAAGACTACAGAAAGTCGTCAGAATCAAGAAATCCATACGGAGTCAAGTCTCCTCAATGATGGCAACCATTGGTTCTCTTTAGTGCATTTTCATTTGCATTCTTGCTTGTTTGTTTAAACATTTCTTTATATAGAAACTTGTCTATTTTTGAATGAAAATCTTAATGCAATAAGTATGCTTGTCTTGAAGTGTTCTTTTTTTTATTCATTCATTCGTTATCACTTTTTAAATGTTTTACTTGCATATTGATGTCGAGTTTCCAAGTCTTATGCTTAAGTAAAGAATTGGAAGGAGGATGGCGACAATATAAAAACGCAAAATCTCTGGTTGGTATGCTTTTGAGTAAGACCCTGATGACGATGTACAAGCCTTGTTTCAATCCCTAAACACCGGATATATAAGGGAGATAGACCCTCGTTAACCCCTCTGAGCCTTCGAAGTAGGAGTTTCTTTTCTGTTCAGAAAAAAACCCTCATTTAAACTCGGGGCAGGGTAGATTTCAGTTAATCTGATCAAGCATTCAGAACTCATCAAGAGTGTGCATCCAAGGATACAACAATGGTTATCCGATCAAAAGGTCGAGGAAAGTCAAAACCACAATGGTTAACCCTCATCTAACGATAACATGCGTCTATTGACAAGGTCCCAATGGGTATCTCTTGCACATCAGGAGGTCAACAGACGACAATACAATAATGGTTATCCCTCATCTACTAAAGACTCAAACAGTCACGATCACTTCCAAAAAGTCAAAGAAAACGCAAAGATCAACGACTTGTTTAAAATGGAAAATATGAATAAGAAAGAAACAAAAATACCCGCTAAGTAGAAACTTAAAAACAAGTCGCTTAGGCAAAAGTTGAGGCATCCCGCTAGACTTCTAAATCGAAATTCAAAAGAATATCTACAGG